GCGGGCGGGCTGCGATGAAGGGGGTTGGCTGCACGCCTCGGGGGCACCGAGAACCAGGCCTTGAACGGAAAAGAGCGTAAAGAAAGCAGACGGGCAGTCAGTCAGTTTATCCCCATCCTGGTACCCAGAGGCCCTGAGTGAAGCTTCCCGGTCCGTGTGAACCGGAGGCACCGAGCGCCGCGCCGCAGCCGACCGACCCCCAGCTCAGCGATGCAGGCGTAGCTGCTCCCCAGGTGTAACTGCCCCACAGGTGTAGCTGCTCACTGCCCCACAGGTGTAACTGCCCCACAGGTGTAACTGCCCCACAGGTGTAACTGCCCCACAGGTGTAACTGCCCCACAGGTGTAGCTGCTCCCCAAGCGTAGCTGCCCCCCAGGTGTAGCTGCTGCTGAAGCTGTAGCTGCTCCCCAGGCATAGTTGCCCCCCAGGTGTAACTGCCCCCAGGTATAACTGCCCCCCAGCTGTAGCTGCCCCCCAGCTGTAGGTGGGCAGGGACACAGCTGGATACCTGCCCGAGGCGCCCTGCTGGCAGCGCCGCCTTTGCTGCTCCCGATGCTGTCGCCCCGCGTCAGGATGGAGATGCCGCTGAAGCTGCTGGCTTTGGTGACGGGCGGCCGCAGGCTGCGGATGGAGCCGTCTGAGTCCGTGCTGCTCCACGGCCGAGGCTCCAGCGACTTCATCTCGCTCTCCGTGCTGCTCTGGCGGCTGCCCGAGGCCCGGTTCAAAGCGTCCCGGTTGCCCCTGCGCGAAGAGGGCTGAGTGGGACAACACCTCCAGGGCGAGGAGCGGGAGCAGGACCCGCGTGCGCTGCACCCAGCCGTCGCTCCGGGTGATGGCGGCTCCGTGGCGCAGCACGTGGCACCGGGGCAGCAATCAGAGACGGGGAACCAACAGCCCGGGTCACTGCTTCCTTGCCAAGACCCACGGCTGCCGCCTCCCTGCTGGTTCCCGGCCCTTTCCTCTGGCCTGGAAAAGGCTCAGAGCACAACCCCTCGCTAAAGCCCTCCTGTCCCACAGCACTGAGCTTCACGGAGGCGACAAGGTGAGCAACGTCCTGCAAAACTGCTTTCTGCCCAGCTGAGTGCCACGACATCACCGTGCTCCCAGTCATCGCCCTCCTCAATCCCCAGCCAGGTCTGCCTGGAACGAGATTCCGGAGTGCTGGCAAAGCTCCCCAAGCACTAAACCTGGCTCACCAGCCCAGCTAAGGAACATCACTGGTTTCTAACGGGTTCCTGGACCCTCTGAGGAGGAGGTGATGAAGGCAACAACGGAAGAGATGCCGTGCTGGAGGCTGGGCCTGGCCGCTGCTCCGAGCAGCCGTGGAGAAGATAGGCTGAGAAGGGACTTCCAGGCTGATGTCCAGGGCTGCTGGGAGCACAGGAGCCAAAGAGAGCAGCTCTCCTGGCCGAGCAACCAGCGCAGCGGCTGCATCTCCTGAAAGCTGAAGGGAGCCACTGCGCAGCCCCGCAAACCGCAGGGGTGTCAGAGGTGTCGCTGCTGATCTGTCGGGCTCTCCCCAGCCTAAACCTGAGAGCTGGGGGCACCGTTTGGGCCACGCTGTGCCTTCTGTCCAGCTCAGCTGCAGGCTCTGCTTCCCTCGGAACTCGGAATCTCTGCAGCTGATTGCTGTAACGACGGCTCTGCTCCCTCTCGTGCCCCTCCTGAACCCCATCACAGCCTGCTCATGTGCCAGCAGAGCTCTGCAACCAGATCGGTGCTGACAGAAGACTGGTGAGCAATGAAGGCAGCTGTGTTAGCTCTGAGTGCTGGGCTCTGCCACCAAGACGTCAGCTCCAAGCACGACCCCCGAGGAGCCCCAGTCCTCTGCACAGCTCGGTCTGCCTCTGCCCGCGGCTCAAAGCGACCCTGAGAGAGGGACGGCCTCCCTGTCCCCACGCTGGGAAGCACGAAGGAAGGAGGTTAAGAAGCTCTTCAGGGCACAACAGCCAGAAAAGCTCTCAGCGCAGCGCTGGCTGCAGCTGCTGGGTGACTTCTGTATCTCCACAGCAGAACTGAAGCCCACAGGAGCGCCAGAGGCGTAGCTGCACTCAGCAGCCCTGTGTCTGTGCTGAGGACGCCGGATTTCCCACCACAGCTTCCTTCCAAGTGCAGGCAGAGCCACGGCTGAGAAGCAAAGCTGTTCCTCCACAAGCTTAAACCTGGGACGACTCCAGCCCTCCTGGATGCTGACCCTGCCACCGTCACAGCAGAGGTTCTCCCACCCTTCTGGGACACAAAGCAGGACGGTTGGAAAACTGCCCAAATCCTCTGGCTTTCCCTCTCCTTTCTGCCATTCCTGCTGCCCACCATCCCGCTTTCATTGATGAATGGGCCAAAAAAAGGACTCAGAAATCGGTGCTGTGAAAAACACGACCTCAGGAACTTCACAGAGCAGCCACACATGGGGCAAAGCTCCTCAGCAGGACAACGCATAAAATGAACCGCAGAGAATGCCTACAAATCTGCCTCCATTTCTGAGAGCTAGAAGAAAAGCCTTCTTTGGAGATTCTGCCAGTTAGCATCAGAGCAAAAGCATCATTACAGAGTCATGCAGTGCTCTGCAGAGAGGTACAGGAAGCGTGTGCCGCATGGTACTGACCTGCTGTCGGTGAGAAATCCGTTCTGGCCAGTCTGGAAACATGGGAAAGACAGGAGACGGGAAGGAAAGAAAAGGGAGACTTAATAACTTCGAAAGCAACAAACCCCAGGCTACTTCAAAGCAAAGAGGAGCAAAGCACTAACAGTATGGGATTCAGCCGGTGTTGTGCATGAGCCGAATGGTCACTCGGGAGCTCCTGCCGAGCCTCTCGTGCTCCTGCCCCCCTTGGCTCGGCATCCAACCCCCAGGAGCTTTGCCAGCACCCCTGATGCCGAGATCTGCCCTGGCTCTTCAAATCTCAGCCCTAAGCCCTCTGTCTCGGTGCCCTGAAGCAGCATCGAGGCCGCTTGCTCAGCGGCACAACCGAGACCAGACGCGGAAGGGTCCTCACTGGGGAAACGCAGGCAGCCATCGGAGCCACCAGAAAAGGGAGAGGGGCTCCAGCTCTGCCCAGCGCCCCGTGGCAGCCAGCCCTGCCCTGCAGGCCAGCCGCTGAGCGCTGCCTTCGGCCGCGAGCAGAGAGCAGGGCGACGCGCGGCCACGCGGCACTGCGCTGCTGGGACCCACCGCCCTCAGCAGGGCTGCAGGCAGAGCTGGGCGGCCTGGGCCTGCGTGCGGGGCAGCTCTGCGGCACCGACGCCTCGGGAGCCGCCTGAGGCCCTGCTGCCTTGACGGCACGCAGTGCGGCGGCTGCCTGACCGCGCTGGGACGAAGGAAGCATCGCTCCCCAGCTACTCAAAGGCTGCAGGCGAGGAGCTGGACTTTGAGTCTGACCCGCAGCACAGAACCGCCCCACATCCACCGCCTGCCTCTGGGCACACGCGGAGCTGCCTCCAGCGGGCAGAGCGGGCAGACAGCACTCGGCACAGCAGAGCACAGCAGCCTCGCCGGGCCAGACGTGAGCGTGGAGCGTAGCCCTGGCTTACAGGAGTTCCACACAGGGAGCAGAGATTTCAAGCAAACAACAACCAAGCTGGACGCTTTGTGAGAAAGAAAATCAACCCAGATCCATCCCATAAAGGCGCGGAGCCCTGCCTGACACCCGAGGGCTCCTGGGCAGCCTGATCTAGGGGCCGGCAACCCTGCCCGGGGCAGCGGCTTGGAACGAGGTGATCTTTAAGGTCCCCTCCAACCCAAGCCGCTGTGATTGAGGGCTTGCACTGCTTGCTCAGGAGGCCAAAGCTGCAGAAATGGAGAGAAACTGGGAGAGAAGGGCACGGTTCCTGTCAGCTTCATTAATTGACTCATTCCAGACATGCCACTGCATAAGCTGATAGTATTGCTGGACAGCAAGGAGCAAACCTGCCTCCTCTGTCAGTCCCCACACTTCTACTGCCATGTGAATTTAAGGGAGGGAACGTGTGGCTCCTCTATCTCCATGTCACAGGCATCTTTGTTAGGAGCTGGAATTCACTGGTAGATACCAGGAACACTAGGAAATTTGTAGAAAAGGCAAGAGTGAGATCTGACCTTTCAGAATATTCAAGGACACCTCCTGCCCCACAGTTCCAGGAAGAAACCTGGCATGTCAGGGAGCTAAGCTTACCTCTCGTGCAAATATCCGCTCCCTGGCCCGCTGGTATTCCTCCTCTCGCTCTTCTATAGATTTGCTCCTCCTCCCATCCTGCAAGGGGAGTCTGATCTGAAGGGACAAACACAGCTCAGCGGGTCAGTGGCTGCCAGCGGGGGCAGAGGGCGCAGCGAGCTGCTGGCACGTCTGCACCGCAGCGCGGAGCGGCGCACGACGCAGGGCCGCTGCCTTTCGACTGGGCTTCGGGGCGCTCGCGTTCTAGGGACGCTGCGGGGAGATCGGCTAAACTGCTCTGCCTGCAGAGAGGACGGAACGGAACACCTCCAGGCTGTCTGGAAGACAAGCTGCTCTCGGGGGCCAAAAGCTAAGAGCCGCTCTCTGCACACAGGCGCCCGCGGCAAACTCCTCCTGCTCGCTCTCAGCCTCCGAGAACCAGCGTGGAGAAACCAGAACCTGACATTGATGGCAACGAGCTCAAGCTGAGCGCCTGAGTGCGGAAACGTGAATGGAAGCAGGGGAAATGGCGTGGCGATGCTAGGATGGCTGCTACGAAAGCAAAGAGCGCGAGGGCCTGGGTGAGGAGAGGGATCCTGGTGCCCCTCTGCCGTCCCTTACCTGGTTATCGTCCCGGTCCATGCTGGTGTCATCGCGTTTTAGGATAAACCGCTGGGGAAACTCGGCGTTCTTCTCATCTTTGATGTGCTCAGAGAACCTCTGCTCGGGACTGCGGGGGGAATCGGCCCTTGTTAGGGGGTAACAGTGCGTGTGGAGCCATAAAAACACCGTGTGCAGGGAGCGGGGCACAGAGTTTGCTGTGCTGAATGTTCCCTTCTGACAGCAGCGAAAGAAGCCGACCCTCCTCTGAGAGCTAAAGACGGCTGCAAAGGGCTTGCAGGTGTATAAATGTGGGGCTGGAAGCAAAGGATTCTATCTGACCCTCCAAAGAGGGAACGTCCCTTCATACAGAGGCATTAAATGTGGTGCAAAATCCATCCCTGAAATCCATCCCCAGGGCTTGAGGTCTGGGAGGAAGGGAAGGGGAGGGGAAGGGATAGGGGAGGGGAAGGGATAGGGGAGGGGAAGGGATAGGGGAGGGGAACAGGAAGGGGAAGGGGATGGGAAAGGGAAAGGGAAGGGGAAAGGGAAGGAGGAGGGGGAGGGGGAGAGGGGAAGGGGAAAGGGGAAGGGAAAGGGAAAGGTAGAGGGAAAGGGAGAGGGAAAGGGAGAGGGAAAGGGAAAGGGAAAGGGAAAGGGAAAGGGAAAGGGAAAGGGAAAGGGAGAGGGAGAGGGAGAGGGAGAGGGAGAGGGAGAAGGAAAGGGAAAGGGAAAGGGAAAGGGGAGGGAGAAGGGGAAAAGGAAGGGGAAAGGGGAAAGGGGAGAGGAGGGGAAGGGGAAGGAGAGGGGAGGGGAGGGGCGTCCTCTCTCCATCCCCCTTACATTCGTGTGTTACTGGTCTTGTTGATAATGACTGCCTTCCCAGTTTGGTCAACATTATGGTCCATGCCAAAGTAGGCGGCCACGCGGTGCAGCAGCATCCTGTGGTACGAGGTCATCTGAGGGAACTTCTTAAACTGATTGCTGAAAGCAAGGAGGAAAGGATCGGAGCTGAGGAGGCTTTGAAACAGGCGATAATCAGACCCCGAAATAGAGAGGGAAAGGGGGGCAGCCCTGACACCTCGACCAGCTCCAGATGAGAGCAGAGCCGGGGCAGGACTCAGCGCAACGGCCCCAGGCTGTGCCAGGAACGCTTGGATTGGAGATGAAGAGGGATTTCTGAACGACCACTTACTTGCTATCACTAATAAATTCCAGAATCTCCTGTTCTAACTTTAGCAGCATCATTCTATCCCTGCCAAAAAAAGAGGGGGAAATCACCTTGAAAGAGAGCAAAGCACAGATCCTCGCTGCCCGCCTCCCTGCAGCAGCGCAACTCGCAGGCAGCCCCAGCTCCACGCGTCTTCCACAGCAACGAACTACAAGGCTCCTCACTTCCTTCCCAATTCCAATGCTAACAGCGCTTGGCTTTCGGTCACATCAAATCCCAGCTCCACTGCAGCGACCCCAGCTTCGCCTCTCCCACGCCAGCGCTCGGTTTGGTTACGTTTATTACTGACTCAGCAGCAGCTCCTTTGGAGGTGATGTTTGATGACCATTTCCCCAGCGGGCTTTAAGGCGGTCAAGATTACCTCCTGCTTGCCTTCAAACAAAGCATTCCTCCTCTCTCTGCCCCTGCTCAGCACAGGGCAGGTTCTGATTGCCACACAAAGCTGCAGGCACCGAGCTCTCGCTTCCCTGCCCTCCCAGGCCGCACACAACCAGCACAGCTCAACCGACGCAGCATCGCCCGCCGCTCCCCCCTGCACCCCATCACCAGGCTCTCCTTTTACCAACCCATGACTTACCTCGGGTTTTTTTTCAGTGTATTTACTAAAAACTCATGCAAATCTATGCCGGTGGAGTCCGTGTATTCCTGGCTGGAATCTGAAACAACAACAGCAGCAGAAGAGATGAACCGAACGCTGCAGCGCAACGGGTTGGAGGAGGCATCTCTCAGCAGGGACTGCATGCACGAGAGCCGCGCTCCCACAGCGCTGCACGAGGCCCCGTGAGGAGTCCAAGAAAGGGAACCTCGTCCCTACAAGCTGTTCAGAGGACGCTCAGGACAGCCCACGCTGCTGCAAAAGGCCCTGCAAGTGCAGCGCGCCGTGCTCTGCCATAAATAAGGCACTGCTGCTCCTTCCATCCTGCAGGCTACCTGAACACAGAGCCCAGCGCCTCTGCTCTTCCCCTTCCCTCGCACCCTTTGAATCTTAGGGGTGACTGCAGGGAAGAAGAAACCAGCAAACCAGCGCTTGAAATCAAAGCTGCATCGGTGCAGCCGCTCTCTCTTAAAATGGGATTTTAAGGTGCAATTTGCTCACCAGATTGAACGTGCATCTTTTAGCCGTTCCTGCGCCCCAAAATCAAACAGCAGGGTGACAGGGCAGAAATCCAGCTCACCTTGCAACCCTTTGCTTTGGCACCTGTGGCAGGCGTTTTGAAAAGCAAAACTGCACTGAAACCACGAGTCTCCAGAGCGGGTCCTGGCTTCGCACCCCAAACACACTGAGAGCCTGCAGGGCTGCAGGGCACGGGGCAAACACACAGAGCCCCCCCCCCTATGAAGGATGCTGTGGAGGTGATGCGTTCCTGCCACCATCAGAGAGGGGACCCCTCTGCCACCACTGCCCCCAGAACCCTGCAGCCAGGGCAGATAAGAGCTGCTGTGTTCACAAGAGCACCTGACCTCGAGACAGCATCTTCCTTGGTGCCTTGTCTTTACTCTTCTCTTTCTCTTCTTTCTCAGCCCCATCTCTCGAGGACTTTTCCTCTTCCTTGTCGGAGGGGCAGCTCACACGCAGCTGAATGATGTCCTGCAACAAAACCAAGCACGGCGCTCTGAGTCGCCCGCTGGGGGTGGAGCTGCTGGCGTGGAATGCACGCGGTTCAGGCTCTGCTCTGCCCCCGCTCTCCTTCCATGAGATCTGATGGCACTCAACAGCGTTTGCCACTGCTGGACACCTGCCTCGTCCAGGATCTAAGCTACGTGCTTCCCTGTTGAGGGCTGATAAAATTCTGTTACACCGTGCACTGAGGAGCTCTTGCACCACTACAGCACGACTCCAGTCTGGAAAGAGAAAGGGCGCGAGGGCTGCAAAAAGCCTTTGAGGTGTGATGAGTGGCTTTCGTGCTGCACAGAGCTGCCTGGGGCCTCCTGTCTGCCCCTCTCCTGAGCTGCAGCTGCCCAGCAAGGCCTGCAAGCTCGCCCTGCTCCACAGGAAGAAACTGAAGGCCAGAAGGCTTGTCAAAGCTGACATCGGATAACCTGCTGCTAAAGTCCAAGCCAAAACCAACTGACAAAGCACCAGCCTTCGCGCCAGCTGATCCTTCAGCTTCTTTCTGCCTCTATCAGGAGCCCTGACGCAGCAGCACGGCTTCAGCAGGCGCCCAGTGAGTGCTGCAGACAATTCCTGGTGAGAAGGAAGGGCTGTGACTGCACACACAAGCGGTGACGCCAGGGCCGACGCTTCCTTCAAAAGCAGCCCCACCTGGGACCCCTTTGGCTCTCGGAGGTGAAAGATAAACTCTAGAAAGAAGGGGATCCTCTGGGCTCCCACACGGCACAACTCGTCCGGTTCTGGGCCTACCTGGGACTCCAGCAGCCCATCTACAAAGGGGCTGGACGATTCTTCACACACAGCCAAGCTCCTGACCAGCTTAAGCTTTGAATTAGACTGGAAAAGTAAAAGAAAGAGCAAAGTTAAGACACCTCAGCCAGGAAGCACGCGCTCGGCTTCATGCTGTCGCGCTACCGAGCCGTTCATGCAATCGGCATCCATCAAACTGCTGCAAAGGAGGACGGCAGCGCCAGCACCTCGCAGCACAGAGGGCATGCAGACATTTGGAGCCCTGGAGCGACGCAGCTCCTTCCTGCAGCCCTCGATTCAACTTGGAGCCGACCAACGTTGAAGTGCGGAAGCTCCCTGCCTCAATTCACTCCTTCTTTGGCCTCTTCAGCCGCGGCAACCCCAGCCCTGCCCTCCTCACTAAGAGTCAAAACTACCCCCAAAGGACAGAGCGATTTTATCTAAGATACGAGGTGAGAATCGTTGCTGTTCCTCATCGCCGGCTGTCGCCCAGCTGACGCCCACCCTGACGGCTTTGTGATTTTGGGGAACGCAGCAGCGCTCAGCGTAAAATAAAAGCTGTGCTTTCAGGCTGCTGGCGAGTCACAGAATCACAGAATCACAGAATCACAGAATCACCCAGGCTGGAAGGGACCTCAAGGATCATGGAGTTCCAACCCCCTGCCCAGCAGGGCCACCAAACATCCACATTCACATCAGGTTGCCCAGGACCCCGTCCAACCTTGAACACGTCCAAGGACGGGGCATCCACAGCCTCCCTGGGCAGCCCGTTCCAGGGCCTGACTGCTCTCCTGTTAAAGAACTTCCCCCTAACATCCAACCTCAATCTTCCCTCCTTCAACTTGGATCCATCTCCCCTGGTCCTGCTGTTGTCAGCCCTTTTGAAGAGTTTACTCCCCTCCTGGCTGTAGGTTCCCTTCAGGTATTGATAGGCTGCACTGAGGTCACCCCGCAGCTTCTCTTCTCCAGGCTGAACAAGCCCAACTCCCTCAGCCTGTCCTCATAGGGGAGCTGCTCCAGCCCCCTGCTCATCTCAGTCGCCCTCCTCTGCACCCTTTCCAAAATCTCAATGTCTTTCTTGTACTGAGGGCTCCACACCTGGACACAGGACTCCAGATGGGGCCTCACAGGAGCCGAGTAGAGAGGGGCGATCACCTCCCTGTCCCTGCTGACCACCCCTCTCCTGATGGAGTCGGCTCACTTGGGTGACAAATGGGAAACAGAAACCGGTCCCATGAGAACCCAGGCGGGATCGGCCATAGGAACAGCCTGAAGAAGAGAGGGATGCCGGAACATCTCCTACCTTGGCTCTTTTTCTGGCGTGCCCGTGGCCTGACGTCCGCCTCTGGAGGAAAAAAAGGAAAGAGAAGGCAAAGAGCCTGATGTGTGGCTGTGCAGCATCAGTGCCGCTCGGCGCTGGGAAGCAGATCTCCAGCAGACTGCGCCTCTCAGGCAGAACGAGGAGCTCCGTGCGCCCCGCCGCCAGCCCTCCGCGCTCACCTGCGCCTCCTGACGCACGCTGACCTCCTCCCCCCCGTCCTTCTCAGCCTCCTCCTTGCTGGGTGACCTGGATACGTGTTTGGTTTTGCCCACGGATTCCTCAACCACCTTTTTTTCTGACTCCTTCATTATTTCCAGGGACTCCTGCGCCGTGTTGCTGTTGGACATCTTCAGAGCCCTGCGACGCAGCGACGGGCACCTGCCAAAAAGGGGCAGAAGGCTCAGGAAGGAGAGTTTCCAAGTGGAGATTGGAATGCTAACGTAACTCTTGCACATCTCGGTTGTCAGTTCCTGCTGCTCCTTTTGTGCACAACGACCCCTGCGCCCTGCGCCCCCCATCCGTCCCTCGGACGCAGCCCCAAGTTCTGGATTCTCACCGGGACCCTGAAGGCTTGGGCACAGCTGAACAAAGGCCTGAGGCACACAGAGATGCCCCGCAACTCCTCCTGGCGCAGGCACGCGGCCCTGCAGCTCCTCTGATGCCAAGAAGAGGCTCAGGGCAGCGCTGAGGAGCACACAGAGGAATTCGGGAGGTGACAGCAACCCGATGCTGCAGATGTGCTCTGCCACGCACCCATAACAACCAAAATCCTGCATTCTTTCCCCAGATCGCAGCCCTGCCCTTCTGGCAGGCAGTCAGAGGCTCTTCAATGAGGACACGGCCTCGCACCCAGAGATTGCTCTGGTTTCTCCCGGGGAACAGAGTGACACCCCTGTCCTCCCTGTGGCTGCTTATGGCTCGATACTACGGAAAAAAACAGGAGCCGAGCCACCGCAGATGAAACCGTAATGCTTCCTAATGAAGTTGGGTCTAATTGCACGCTTCTGATTAGCGAGCACGCAGCCGCCCAGGGCCCTGAAAGGACCAGGCAGGGCAGGGGGCCTTGCTCTGCTCCCAGCTCCTGCAGGATGTGAGGCTCCCATTCATAACACGGAGCCAGCTGCAAGCCTCAACCAAAGTCAGCCCTCTGGGCTCAGCCACAGCAGCTCTCTTGGAGCTCCAACGAGGGCAAAGCAGTGGAGGGAGGGCTGCAAAGGGGATTCTGCTCCTGAGAGCCACATCTGTGCAGCCACGGCTGGGGCACAGCAAGGTGACACCACTGCAAAGGGAAAGGGGGAAGCCGACGTTTCAGAGGAGCTCCAACAGCGTTAGGAGACGCAGCTGACGTTCATCAACTTCTTTTATTAATTGCTTTGGCAGAACATGGCTGAAAGTGTCTGATCTCACCAAGATTCACCAACCCTCGGCTCGTCTTCATCAACCAATTCAACCTCACCCCCTTTTAACCTGCCGGGCTGTCGGACACAAAACGTGCTCTGCTTTTTCTGCAGCTCCCGGAGCGATTTCCGGCTGCAGTCGCCCTGCAGGAGGCAAAGCAGAGAGGTTCCACCCCAACCGCCCCCGAGCTGCTGTGGCACCGTGCCCCGCTTGCAGCCCGGGGAGGAAGAACCTTCCTCATCACACTGCCAAGCAACCTTGGCATCACGGGGGCAAACAGCATCGCTTCTCCTCCCCACGGCCGAGAGCCCAGCGCCGCTCAGCAGACATTTATTTGTGCGCTGCTCCTCCCGCTTGCACTTCCTGCCCCCGGCCGCAGCCCCGGCACGTTTCCTCGCATGCAAAGCCCCAAAGAGAGCTGCCGCGCACTGCCAGCGCTCCTTCGCAGCCCGCAGAGCGGAGCTTTCCCTTCTGTATGAATGAATCAGCGCCGCTCCCTCAGGACAGGCGTAGGTCGCACGAGGGGGTGGCAGCCGGGAGCCGCAGCGACAGACAGCAGCTTGCGGAGAGGGGAAGTTCAGAGGACTCGGGGTGGGCGGCGCTGAGCCGCGCGCTGCCAGGGAGGAGACGGGAGATGACGTAGATGCAGCACCGGGGAAGCCAGCGAATCTGGGGCAGAGCGATCGCCCAGCAGAGCTGCCGGAGATGGGAGAGCTGAGCTGAGCGATCGGGGGCGGAGGGGGCAGCGAGCACCGAGCGCTGCTGAGGGCTGGGCGAAGGGCAACTCCGTCCTCAGCTTCCTCCAAAAAGGGCACAGATCAACCCGCGCGTCCGGACTTCAGTCTGCTTCAGAGACATCTCTTGACTCACGTCCCCCTCAGCCTCTTCCCTACGTTATTCCTTTTTCTGCTTTCTGAGCTCTCCAGGAAGCGTTCGATAGGGCAGAGCCGACAGACCTGCCCGAGTCACAGTGCTGTGCTGCCTTCACGGAACATTGAGTCCCACGTTGCAGAAGGCAGCAGCACCCCACTGACAAGGAGGAACCCAACAAAGCCTCAGGCCTCTTTCCAGCCTCAGGCTGGTTCGAAAACACAAAGTAGGCTTGCTTAAAGCCAAACCGGGTCCGATCTCTTGCTAAACAGAGTTACAGCACTTGGAAGACTCGGAAATAAACATCCCAAGGCGGTGAGTCGCTCGTGGGCAGGACAGTCCCACCACACCACGTCGGTGACGGGCAGCCAGAGCCGACTGCCAGCACTGGGAGCTGGGCAAGGAAAGCCGGCGGGCCCGAGGGAGGACGGGAGCCAAACAACCCAGCCTGGGAGAGGGAAGCGGGAAAACCGCGGCCCCCTTCTGGAGCACAACGATTTCGCCTCGCCCCCCGTGCGCGGCCCTGCGGTCGGCAGCAGCGAGCAGGAACCTCCGGCACGAGGAGCGATGCTCTCCCAGCCGCGCGCTGATTGGCTCGCGGCTCAGCCAATCGGAGCCAGAGCTCCATGGCAACCGGCTCTGTCGCCAGGAGCAACCGGGAGAGCCGGGTACCGGCGGCCCCGCGGAGGGACGGGGAGGTGAGAAGCGGCGGGTGCCGAAGGTCCCGGTTCCAGAGCTCCTGTCATCCCGAGGGGCCGCAGGGAGCCCTCTGCCCTCTGCTTTCCCCAGCGCACGGCCGCCGCTGCAGTTTCGGGGTGCTGGAGTACGTTTCCCAGGTACACAAGGGGCTGCAAAAAGGAGGTTTGGTTGTAGGATCAACAGCAGCTGTGCAGCTCCTGAGGAAAATCCTGAGAGAGGTCCTGAGAGATCTTCAGAGGGAACTCCTGAGAGAGGCCCCTCACAGGCTCCACAAGTCCCTCCCCATCTGTTCTGGGCAGCACAAAGCTCAATTAAGAGTCCCCAGCACCAATGCTGCCCCCGAGGCCTCAGCCTGAAGGCGAGCACAGAGCCCTGCACACACAGCCCCACACACACAGCCCTGCACACACAGCCCCGCACACACAGCCCTGCACACACACACACAGCCCTGCACACACACAGCCCTGCACACACAGCCCCACACACACAGCCCTGCACACACAGCCCTGCACACACACACACAGCCCTGCACACACACACACAGCCCTGCACACACACACACACACACACACACACACACACAGCCCTGCACACGCACAGCCCTGCACACACACACACAGCCCTGCACACACAGCCCTGCACACAAACACCTCCCCTGGTCTCCAGCTGGAGGAATCCACTCCGTGCCGGGAGCTGGCAGAGCACACAGCGCTGTGCAAAGCCCCGCAGCTCCATGAGGGATGCTCGCACTCCGCAGTGCCCTCAGCCCATGCAGGAGCTGCTCCACAACGTTCTGCTCCCCTCTGCTTTTCCCCATCGGCTGCAGGGAAGGATTCGCTCCTCGCTCCCTGGCCGCTCCTATAAAGCAAACGAAGCCAAAAGCACGGAGGCTATGGGTGCGCAAACCCAGCACTGAATCACTGCTTCAAACCTTAATCCCCACCCCCACGTCACACTGAAGAGGTGAAGCTATGATGCAGAGTTTTGACTTTAGGTGGAAGGAGGGCGTAAAAAACCTGACACGAACTGGGATGCAGGGCGTGCAGCAACGGCTGCCACCGGTGTGAGAGAGGAGAGCCGGGGCCTCCTGCGCTGCGAGGCGCCCTGCAGACCTCCCGAAATTCGGATGGAAGAAAGGAACCGGCTGCACCAACACCTCGACGGGGGGCGGGGGCTGCGAAGAGGGAATTTTGGACCTTGCTGCAGGAATTGGGTTTCGGTGCTGCGAAGCGCACAGCAGCTGCCACCTGCAGCCCTGCTGCTCTCACTTTATTTCGGGAGCTGCAGTGAAGCCACACAAGAACCCCTCAGCCCTCGGCGATAAAATCAGGGGAGACAAAACCAGGCGGCAGCTCGAGTGAGAGGAGCACAGGAGGCAGCGCTGTCAATTTTTACAGTGCAAACCCTGTGAGGTGAGAAAGAGAAATGTGGGACAGCCGGAGCTCCCCTCTCCTGTCAGAGCCGTTCCTGCACTCGCCCAGGAGCAGGGAAGCGCTCCGTGACGTCAGAGCAGTTTCCCAGCAACAGGGAAGGAGGGCTGGCCACCACGGGGGTTTCCTGAAAAGCCAGCACGGAATCCTCCACCTCCTTTCTGCAGTGTCAGATGCGACAGGACAGCACGGAATGGGACTCGTGTCAACTTCCCTCGCGCTGCACGCTCCTCCAGCGCCGTGCCAAGAAGCAGCAGCACTGAAAGCTGGCTGAGAGCACGGATTCCCCGGCCCAGCTCACCACCAAGCCAGCTGCAACGGGGTGGCACAGCACAGTGTCACAGCATGGTGTCACTGCACGGTAGGAGTGTGATGGGCAGTGAGCCGTTCCTGCTTACCTGCAGCAGGAGGACCTCGAGGGCTGCTGCCCGCACGGGTGCTGGTTTCTGTTCTAAGAGAGCACTGTGAGGAGGTGAGGGGAAGGGCAGCAGGTCTGACGCACCCACATAAAGACCCTGCAGTGCTGCAGGAGGCTGAGACAGCGGCCCTAGGAGCAGCTCCTGGCACTGACAGATGGACGAATGCTCCTTCAGCACCGGTGTGAGGAGGAGGCACAGGGAATCCAAACTCCCCGTTCTGCTGAAAGCAAACCCAGTTTGCAGCGAGCTTTTAAACACAGGACGGGGGTATTATGAACACAGGGGGACGAATACAGCACAAGCAGCCCTGCAGAACATCAAACCGAGTAAAGCAAGCTCGCTATTTCCTACGGCCAGCCAACAAGCAGCCGCGTTCTTTGGCCAACTACCTGGCTTCCAAGCAGCACAGCGCTGAAAGCGCAGCAGCACGGAGCGCTTTGCCTCTGCCAAAGGAAAAGGAAGAGCCCAGAACAGCCGCACGAAGCCCAGCTTGGGCTGGGAGAGCCGCGAGGGGAACTGCTCGCTACACAGCACAGCGGCACGCAGGGCTTCCCCCGCTCCTGCCGGTGCACCTCAGCCCCGCCAAAAGAAAGCTGAGTTCCGGCACCGCGTCCCGAACGGCATCAGAGCTGCGGAGCATCGCGGCGCCGTGCGACGAGGCGGCAGGGCAGCACTTACCGACGTGAGCGACGTCAGCTCCCCATCCCTGCGCCGCCCGCCGTGCCGTGCTGGGTGTTGCACGGTGGCGGAGAGAAGAGATGCAAAGAGAAGCCTCGGGCCGCTGCTGCTCGAGCCCCAGGCATCAGCCGGCTCAGCTCTATCACAGAACTCACCCTGCGGCGCCGCGCTCCCCGCAGTCACCTGTCCTCTAATCCCCACACAGCCTCCATCGCCTCAGCTGGCTCGGGAGGAACCCGCCAGGATCGCTCTGCTCCCCGCAAGCCCCCAACCTGCTTGCCGCCCCCCCCCCCGGGTGAGCGCAGCGCTGGGCCGCGCGGCTCCAAGGCAGAGCGGAGCCCAACTGTGGGGAGGGATGCACAGAGCTCTGCCAATGGCCACATGCACACCCCCTCCTGCTCTCATTCAAACACTTCGGAGGAACCGCCTCCGCAGAGCGCCGAGAAGGCTTAAAGACACAGCACCTTCCTGAGCACTGGGAAGGCTTAAA